TGTGACATATAAGAAACTTGACTAGGTGTAGATGCGGCTTTAAGTAGTAGTCCGTACAGGCAGTACTAAAAATATCAACTATTTAAGTAGTCGCACATTAAGAGCGGAGCTTCAGAATAATGTAAAATTCTCACTGGGGGTATAGAAGGGGTTGTGGGGTATCGTTAATAATAACGTTTTAAAGGCCCATTATGCTTTTATTTGATTTTCTTAAAAGCTTTTTTATTTTGATGTTCCTCTATATTATCCAAAAAATAAACATTGGCCAATTACCTGAACCATCTTTTTCATCTGTTGCTTTTTGGCAATGATGAGTACAGTTATAGTGAATTAGTATTTTATATGGAAGTTAAATACTACAGTGTTTTGACTTCCTTTATGACAAATAATTTCACACTTATCGCTACTTTATTCAGGTGACAAGCATCTTACATTTCTCAGATACCATTATTTTAACATTATAAAATTCATGTTTGCTCTTTCTAAAGAAGTATGTTAGATTTCCCATAAAAAAGCCTCTGGCGAACGGTTGTTACGGAGCTTACAAAAACCCTTAAGTTTGTTGATAAGCCTAATAATGTACTTGTAAAAATCACTATTTATAGTCCCATCGAAAAACTTGATGTTTCACCAGAACATTGCAATAGTTCTTTGGAAAAAAAATATTAACTGCATTTTATTTCATTCCCAACATATTTAACCCTTTACCTCATATATACGCGAAACAACGCACTTTCGACCCCCCCCCCCCTTTTTAGGCCTCAAACAGTATAAAAATGTCCTATTTGGGCCCCAAACACATGTTTTCGTTTGAGAAATGTTGCTAAAAAGGTGAGCAATTTTTCGGCGCCGCCCCCCATCCAAAAGATACATCAGGGGGTTGCCAGAAGGGGCAGAGTCCCCCTCATCGCCAAGAAAATTTTGGACTTGTGAGAGGCTATAAATGACCCCAGGTCGATCATAAGGTAACGTGTAACCAACCCTGAAAAGCCTTTGACTCTATCTCAATCCCTTGAGAAGTTGCAGCACTTTGAAATAAATTTTGATGGAAAAACTCGAGGCAAAATAGTTTTTTTTGGCAATTTTGAGATGTCCCCTCGTTGCCATGGTAACAGGAAATTTAAAACTGAGCACGGGCAATGGGCCAATCAACATTTGTGCCAAGTTTGATTAGTATTGAAGCATTTTTCATAGTTTCATAGCAGTTTGAACTTGTAACAGGAGGTTTCAGTGAAAACGGCCATTTTTCACAATAATTATGCTCATGAGGGAAAGGGTTAAAATGGGGCTCAATATGGCACCAAAAGTTATCAAGTATATGACCGACAGAAAGGGATATTTTTCGCAGCATCTTTTAATTCTAGGAATACACAATTTCTGTACTAGAGTATTTTGAACGGTGGCATAAAAGTGACATTTGTAATTTTTTTTGATACTTATTTTTGTTTTTCGTACATATTTTTTGTTTGTTTGTCGTACATATTTTTTTTTAGTTTTGAATACATACTTTTTTTAATTTTGCATACAAATTCTTTTTTAGTTTGCATACATATTTTATTTAAGTTTTTTTGTACATATTTTTTTTTCGTACATATTTTTACATGACGCCATTTACAAAGTAGAGGTTAGGATAATTACACCATTTGTAAAACACCATTTTCAAACACTTCGCCACCTGTAAATTACAGTACCCCATTTGCAAATACCAACATTTTCATTTTTGGAGGTATCAAAACATAACAACACTTTAGTATATATATATAGTCCGCGGTAACCCAAAGAAAGGTTCTGCATATGGCAAGGATGTGGTTAACATTTGTCACAAGATGCCTTAAAATCCTTCATGGGGTTTCGGAGGTAAGGAGCGGACATGAAATATGATAAACAAGATCAACAAGGAAAGGCGGCGTTCATTGAACGCAACCCCCATATGACCCAGCAACAAGAACCAATGGCAAGGAGCCCAGGAGGACCCCAAACAAAAACAGGACAGGGCAAAGACAGAGCACGGACAGGTTAAACATTAAATGATAAATAATTTATAACTGATTAGGAATTCAAAGAAAATAATAAAAGGCCCACAAAGGGGAAGGGGACAGGAGACCGGGGGAAGGGGGGGGGGGGGTTAATCAAAGAAATAAAAACTAGAGGCAATGGGGAAGATAGTTACCGTAGACGAGAAAACAACAAAGGACACAAGCAAAAGTGTCACCAAAACAGTATGAAACAACATAGACATACATCTGAGGAACAGAGTGGGGCGCCGCCTTGGAACGGTCAGCAGCATAATAATGACTGCTGGGGAGTTTAAACCGGTTAATGGTGCACCAATCCCGCTCTTAGCCCACCATGTTCCTATAAACGAGACAGTGTAAATAAAATGAATCCCCGCCAAGTGAAATTCTAACAGTTGTCATGGTTACAAAAGGTTAAATAAGTAAAACACTAAAATGATCATGTAGAATCATATAAAAGTAAACCCAATGACCATAACAAAAGTACTCAATGTCCTAAAGGAAGAAGTCTTTATCCTTTGGACTGAAGGTTTGACCCCGACCTTGAGCCGGCACACCTGGCATATAAATTCTGCACATTATCTAGATGTGCTAAAGAACTGACCTAAGTTTCATAATTCTCAATTCTCAGCGGGTGGGTTGAGTGGTGCATATTCATGGAATAATAACTGATCACCAATCAACAGCCCTTTCCAAATAGACACTTATATAATAGTATATAATAATAAAAAAACAATAATTATATAAAATCAAATAATTAAAAAAAATCGGCCGAAAAGTTTATACAGTTTGTTCCATTTGCTTGTTTTGATTTTGTGTCATTTGTTTGCTTTGCTGTGGATGCCCTAATAGGGTTTTGTATGCCCGGTATCCAAACCTTTTGGCTTTTATTAATGGAGTCGTGCCCACAAAATGCCAAGATTAACTAAGACATTACTCAGTGAGATAAATTACATATGCCACTATGTATGAGTATAAAATAAAATTAGGTAAAGTATGATATCGTTTTGTTGTTGTCCCAAATAACATGTTACTAAATAACAAAATATCACTACTAGCCGACATGATAAGACGGGACAATGGTTCAATAAGCTAAAAAAAAAACAATGGAGTTAATGAAAGGTGTACTTTCTTTTAAAATAAATGGAAAATGCGAGAGAAAAAAGTTCTTCACTAACTTATCAAGATCATTCATATATTGATTGAATTTTTATGACCTCAAAGTGCGGTCGTTTGTCTGATGTTAAAAATGCACATATACCGATGTAATGCACTTTGGGGTCAAAATTGAGACCCCAGAGTGCGTTGGACCCCTAAGTGCGGTGTTACAAAGCCAGATAAAGCTTCTGAAACTGTTTGACACATCATGCGATAGCCTTTTAACCTAAACCATCAAGTCTTCAGCTTATTTCATTCTATGACAACGCCACAATTTGATAATGACCTTATGCCATAAACCTTTACATTTGAAAAAAGCCATACAGACGACATCTTTCTTCAAAGCAAATCAGGTAGAAAGTGTACGTTCATGCAAAAAAAAAAAAAAAAAAAAAAAAAAAAACAACCACGAGTATTTGATTGAATTACATTTAAAACATACTATAACTTTTACTTTTACTTTTACTTCTTGTTCGGATTAAATAATGTTCTATATAACTAATGTACCTATTGTATTATATAATGGCAGGTGGGACCAAGCTTATGATTCAAGTTTTACTGCCGGCCTATAAGCAATTTTTAATAGGATACCGTATTCTGAGGATATTTTTGCACATTCTTTTTGATTTCGTTACGTTTCCTTTTTTATATATTCATGTACATCTACAGCACTCTTTCTATATAATGGTTTTGACTGAAATTTAATTTCAGACTTATATGAAATGTTATTATATTAGTCCGTATCTAACTATTTTATCCATCTTTTTGTTTTTCACGAAAGGAGAACAATGAAGGGATGTAAGGAATGTTAGACTTCTGTCGAAGCGCCTTTTTAAAAAGTACAAAGAACGTTTTATCATAGTACTGTTTTACGAAAACAATCATGGTAAATGTGAGTAAATAAACATATTGAACATTCATAATTTTCAGAATACATTTTAAAATTATCGTCTGCTGATCCAGGATTATCGCAAGAAATAATGGTAAAACATAAATGAAAATAGAAATAAAGAGACAAGTAAGAAAGATACCAATACGAAAAAGGCAAAACGTGACATCTCAGTGGGATTTCATCTCTCCATTATTTCTAGTAAGTTTTATATTGCTTTTGTTTACAAGTTCTTTCATTTTGTGTGACTCCTTTATAGCCATACAATCCATGTTGAGACAAGAGGGCGATTATATCAGGAATTAACAAGTGGCTGGAAAAAAATGCTATAATAAAACGACTTCTATATTAAGATAAGGAATAAAAACTCTGAAAGTCTGTGACCGGTATTTTAGATATCTCATGCTGTTTACTGACTTTTTGTCACGAAAATTTAAGCTTTACTGCTTTACTTTTAAAGTAAACAATGCACGGAAAAGGAAAACCAAGTAGATCGTAGCTTACTACATCTGTTTGCGGATTTTTACTTGCATTCTTATATGTTTATATGGCACGAATAGTGATTATATATATGTACTTAAGTTATTATACTAGAAGCGTCCCCTTGGAAAAAAAAAGTTTGATATCTTAAACGCGTTCAATGTGTATTTTAGTCTTATAAACTTGAATTATAGAATAAATGGATAAAATTATGCATCTATCTTATTCTTGTTTATTTGTTATTTCTATAGAGACCTTACAACTATACAATATAAAGGGCTTATCATAAGTTCAATAAATATTGTGAATTTATCTGAAACTAATAAGCACTCAAAGTAATCCTATAAAAACGCCATTCTTTTCTTTAATGTGATATAGATCAAACCTGATTAGCTGCAAGTACATATGTGCAAACATTAACCTGAACATATTCTGTATATACCGCCTTGCTGGAATATCCTGTATCACTCGATTTATACTAATCAAGCGTCGAGGATAATATTCCACTCTGCCAGTTGCGGCAGGCACATCTTGTTTTTTTTCTCTCTGTAATCCAGTAAGCTTTGTTTGAAAGGAGAACTTTATCTTTTTAATTAAGTATACAAAAAATATAAAAAATAAACAAGGAAAACGGAGTAGCTATCAAAGAATATCGATGTTTTTGCAGTGAAAATTTAAATATTAGAATAAAAAAGGAACTATTTGACAGGTTTTGATGAAGCTTTTTGTGAACTTACTTCCGAAAAAGAACTTTAAATTAAAATTTATATAAGGATTCCGGCATTTCAATTGTTTGTTTAAAACATTTATTGGTGAAACATATGTTCAGGTATGGAATACTGTGAATTCTATAGATGTGCTTATAAAGTTATTAGGAAATAACAAAAGTAAATGAAGAAAACTATAAAAATATAAAAGGACATTTTTTTAATTTCTCAGTGTTTAGTTTGAATATTCAACAAAGGATACAAAATGGATTTGTTTACAAGTAAAACAGGTTCGTACTTCATTATAATATTTCTTTAAGCTTAACACTTGACATCTGTTCCCACAAATAAATAATGTTTACTCTGTATTTGTTTTCTTCCTTAATCTGCGTGGTGATAGTTATGTTTTATACTGCTTTAAACATGATTAACTTGTACAAAAAGAAAATTGTAGAAGCTTATTGGACATAACAACTGGTTAATTTGTTTCCTTTACATAATGGAAAACATCAGGAAAAGGAGAATAAAATCAAGAAATTTAGAGAATATCCGAAAGTGTCAGTGAATATCATAAAGATAGTCAATTACCATAATAGCGTTATTCTATTTTACAACATAACTTGAAGGGTCACTCAATAAAATACAAGAATAAATTTGTCTTTCTTTCCAAATCAAGATACTAATACCAATCATACTTTATCATATATCCTCACAACGAAAGAAAAGTGAAAACATTGTAAATAATTAAAAAAACTTTTTTTTTTAATATTTAGAAAAGATTTTGCAATCTTATAAAATAATGTTTTTAATCTTATAAAATAATGAAGAATTTTATGTTAACTTTTTTTATTAACAATCGGATTACGGCATGGGATAACATTTACAAAAGGTTCCTTTACAGGAGAGAACAACACATAAACTTAGAGAATGTCTTCAAATGTAACAAGTCTACATTACAGCTGTCGTCGTTTTTTACGAATTAGTCTTGAAACAATTAAACTTAAATCTACGAATGCCTTTGTCATATCAGCGTGGAAAATCTTATATTTGATCTAAGGAAACTAATTTATACGCTAGATAATATCAAACGAGTTTACACCTTAAGAGCCATAATGATTAGTGATAAGATTACGTAATTTACCGATTAGTCACGTAATGAGCCGAACCAGACACCGTAGTTGAAGGAAATTTCCGTAATTGACAGGATATTATCTTACTGACCACATGGTGGACTAATTGTTGCCAGTTCTCGCGTGCTAATAATTAAGAACATCATTATGCATCACAATGTTTCTATTGTGTCTTTGTACTGTCGACCAGCTTATTTATTTTACATCATTAAGAACATTGCATTATGTTAACAGAAAAAATATTTTACTTCTACATTTTTCAACAAAAATGCCTTGCTTAAACGTGTTAAACAATTCAATAACTAAGGACAAGTGTTTCATACTTAAGGATTTTTATTTGAAAGACAAAATATATGTTATCTAAATTATGCATAGTTTATTTATTTATTTATTTAATTTATTCATTCATTCATTCATTCATTCATTCATTCATTCATTCATTCATGCATTCATGCATATATTTATTTATTTATTTGTTTGTTTGTTTGTTTGTTTATTTATTTATTTATTTATTTATTTATTTATTTATTTATTTATTTATTTATTTATTTCTTGAGTTGGTGATTGAAGAATTGAAAATATTTATCAATCACTTTAAAGTTAATAATGATAAGTATCATGTTTAAATCGTTTAAGATCAAATACAAGTAATGTTATCTTTATGTTTATATTTAGAAAGTATAATTTTAAACACATTTAAAAACTGCAAAAACAATACATGCTCTATTAAATTGTTATGATGTAAACTATCTTGCTGAATTCAAACGACGTTGTTTTACTGACGTTCATTGATTATCCATCTTTGTGTCATGCACATATCACCGTTATTTACTTGATTCATTGCCCAATGTAATGACTTGAAAAAGTAGAAAATGTAGACCGTTTTGTTTACTAAAGAAAAAAATTATGACAGGCACAATCGTAGACATGTAGTAGATATGAATTGATATGCCTTTCATAAATTCTGAAGTTCATTGAAAAAGATGACCTTTTCAGAGAAAAGCGTATCACATGCCAGTCTTTTGATCTGATAAAAGAAAAGTGCATATCTTTAAATGTTGAAGTGTATCAAAATAGACGTGTCTGTTTGAGTGAAATAAGATTTTAAAACTTTTCATGTGACTGGAACCTGTTTTATGCACACACCCTTAAGTGTATCAAACTCTAGAGCCTCTCGATAGTATTACAAGGACAGTCAAACAAGAAAATAATTACTTTAGGCTAAAAATTAAAGTTAAAAACTATTTTAATTATTATAATAATAATAATACTATAATAACAATTATTGATCCTATGTTTTCTTTCAAATTAACATGTATTCGGTATCTATATTGATTAAAAAAAAAACCTTTCATTACATGGCACACCTATAAATTTATATTATGAATTGAAAGAATACGGATCATAAATAATGAAAACTGCTAGTATACCCTAAAAACCCACTTGATATGTATCATTTTCAATGAAAAACTAAATAAATACAGAAAAACTAACAATACATAGTATTAACTAATATTCAACACACTATAAAAATAAGATGAAATATATTTAAATAAAGAAACAATAGAGACGAAACATAGTTTTGTAAATATGACGTTCAATGCCTTTAATAAATCAAAAGTTTGATAACCCTCCTTGTTATTCGGCATGTTACACCTTTTTGCATACCGTTGACCCCTTAACAGCTTTTGAAATAATCATATCTATCAATGATTCGCCCGTATGTACCCCAGGTAAGCTGATAAGCCCATTTCTGGTTGAATGACAAACGTCGGGCATGCACCTGTACAAAACACGCATGCTTATAAATAAATCAGGAAGTGCCAAGATAAGTTCTATTTCATCAATAAACTCAGATAAGAAGAAAGAAATAAACACAAGTTCTGCTAGATGTATAACTCTTTAGTGATATTACAATAATTACGTATCTTATTTGAGGTATTTTTTTAAGATTTTAACAATTTCAAAAGTTTTCCTACACTGCCTTTGTGTTGAAAAGTTAGAATTGTCCAGTGAAAGTTTATTAGATAAAATGATTATAATATTGAAATTATGCAGCCATTTTAACAACATCTGGACAGACTACATGGATGTCTATGTTGACTTGTTGGCAACATCTGGACAGGCTACGTGGATGTTCACGTCAACTTGTTGACAGCGTCTGGACAGGCTACATGGCCTTCTACGTTGACTTGTTGACAGCATCTGGACAGACTACATGGTTGTCCGGCTACGTGGATGTTCACGCCTACTTGTTGACATCGACAGGACAGACTACGTGGATGTTCACGTCGACTTGTTGACAGCAGCGTCTGGACAGACTACATGGATGTCCACGTCGACTTGTTGACAGCAGCGTCTGGACTGAGTGCACGGATGTTCACGTTGACTTGTTGACAGCAGCGTCTTAACAGACGACATGGATGTTCACGTGGGCTTGACAGCAGCGTATGGACAGACTACATGGACGTTCACGTCGCTTTGTTGACAGCAGTGTCTGAACAGACTACATGGATGTCCACGTCGACTTGTTGACAGCGACTGGACATACTAATTGACTTGTTGATAGCAGCGTCTGAACAGACTACATGGATGTCCACGTTGACTTGTTGACAGCGTCTGGACAGGCTACGTGGATGTCCACGTTGACTTGTTAACAGCGTCTGGATAGGCTACGCGGATGTCCACGTTGACTTGTTGACAGCGTCTGGACAGGCTACGTGGATGTACACGTTGACTTGTTGACAGCGTCTGGACAGGCTACGCGGATGTCAACGTTGACTTGTTGACAGCGTCTGGACAGACTACGTGGATGTCCACGTCGACTTGTTGACAGCGTCTGGACAGGCTACGTGGATGTCAACGTTGACTTGTTGACAGCGTCAGGACAGACTACGTGGATGTTCACGTTGACTTGGCATATACTTAAGTTTACCTAATATTATTATCTATTGTATTAGAGATGTTCACACACTTGATGCTATGCTGTTATATAACTTTAATAAGTTTTTGGGAAAATGTTATTAAAGTAATAAGTTCTGTTGTACAGTGTAGTGTATGTTTAATGTTCTTTTGTTTTAAAGACAAATAACGAACATAACTCAGACAAAATTTCTATACTGATCTTTCAATAGGGTGATTGTTTCTTCTGAGAAATCAAAAATAATACTACATTTGAAACAGATACTTGAAGTTTTATAATGTTGTACCTACTTATGAAAATTCACAGACATGTAGGTACTATAAATTAAAATCTTTTGAAAATTTGCAAAATGATTTCCACACAGTTTTTTTTCCTGAGAAGGCAGTTTGAAAACATGATTTGCAGAAAATCAAGTTTATATTGTGCCATAAGTATGATTTATGTGCCATATTTTTATTATCCTTGAGTTATTTTGCTCACGATTCACAAATCTTGATGAACTAACTTCCTTGCTTAATGACATACCTGACATGCCTTTGGCCTGGACAACGTCTTTAGTTGTGTACAATAAAACCCATTTCTCACCGCTTCAAATTGTACACAGCTGACAAATGCTCATTATTATTTTCGCTAGAAACATAAACTGTGTTTATTCCACTCACGTTTGCATTTCTAAGCACATAAAACAAATAGAGTATACCTAAACTCTTGAAAAATCATTCACCCATTCCGCAGTCATTAATCAATGTATTATCTCCTGTTAAACGTACGATTGATTGCACTGGGCATTTTTTTGATCCACACAGCTATCTTACCTGTCCATAAATAATATTTTTCCTCGGAATTGGCTTGACAGTTTACAGATAAAGATCAAAATTCTGGAAATGTGCACCTAATGATACCATATGTTTAGATTAAATCTTGAATATATATGTTTTTAATTGAATCTAAAACGTTTTATATCCTTACATTGGGTTTCTGTTAGTACATGGTCCGAAAATCTTTAAGAACGAGATTTTATGACCTCAAATTGAAAATATATTCGACTGAGTTAAGCCAAACATAAGAATCATTTCGAAATTTAAAAAAGCTATTATTTTAATTTCTTAACAAGTTCGTCTTATATGAAAGCAAAGAAAACAGGGATTTGTTGAACGACAGACACTATAAAACTCTGTGTGAATTACTTGTTTTATGCCATGCTGATTAAATAACGCCATTTACAATCTCTACATTG